TAGAATGCAGAATATAGAATAGAATAGAATAGAATAGAATAGAATAGAATAGAATAGAATAGAATAGAATAATAACTTTATTGTCACTTTAAATGTACGCTAATCAACATGGAGTAAAATGAAATTTTGTCACATTCAGCTCTCAGAGGATAACCACCTCCAATATACTCTGCATAAACATGACAAAAGATCATGCATATAATTATGCAAATTATCTTGCTGGCCAGTAAATGCTCCAACACTGGAAGTTGTTAAGAAGAGACTGGACGGCCATTTGTCCGAAATGGTGTAGGGTTTCCTGCCTGAGCAGGGGGTTGGACTCGATGACCTCCAAGGTCCCTTCCAACTTTACTACTATTACTATTACTATTACTATTACTAGATGACCTGAACTTGAAAGACACGGCAAGTCAAGCCACAACACAGCACAGGATGTTGAGTAAGGAGAGGTTCTTTGTAAACAACATTGCAAACACTTTTAGCACCACTTTTGAGAAAATCATTACCTTATGACTACTTCTAAATGATTTGTAACTTTTTTTTGGTTATTCTCAGAGCTTTTTTGCATCCAGTGGAATGACTCTTCTTTTATTTACTGCAGCTCTGGATGAACCATCATCATTCATTTTGGAGAGAACATCTCTGGTTGTATTCCAGTTCTAGAATGATGGACAATTCTATTGGTTGACCTTGTTTAAGGGCAAGACATTTGGAACTGAACAACCTCTAGAATGTGGCTAAAAGCACAGGGATCTGCTGGACTTAAGAGTGGAGAGCAGAGAAGACTGCAGGTTTGAGAGAGAGGTCAACAAGGCCATCTAGGTCAGGGGTAGTCAACCTTGGCTCTTTTATGACTTGTGGACTTCAACTCCCAGAATTCCTGAGCCAGCCTGGCTCAGCTTGGAAACCTCTCCCTTTCCCCTCAGCATGGCTGGCTGGCTCAGGAATTCTGGGAATTGAAGTCCACGAGTCATAAAAGAGCCAAGGTTGCCTACCCCTGATGTAGGTCAACATTGGACAGCCTTCCTTCAACAGGGGGGAGGGGTGTGACACCACCTATCTCCAGGCTACAACACCATCCTTTCAGCAGTCCCAAGAAGGCTCCACCCCCATTTGCACCACTCAGGTGACCCTGAGGACACAGGTAAGCCTCCAGGTGGCCTCAACAACTCTCTAGAAAGAATGCAAATGACCAACTGTCTGCAAGGAGTATAAATCCTTCCATCCCCCACCATCCAGTCAGAGCTGAAGAAGCTTCTGGGATGAGAAACGAAACGCCTTCAAAGAAAAACAAGGAAGTCCAGTTGCCTCGTGAAAAAGCACCTTTGAGAATCTCCACAGGTATGACCTCAGGACACTGTGATGGTCATAAATATGATCCAAGCATTTGAGTTTTGATTACTTCACCATGGGGATGCTATAATGGTCTTAAGTGTGAAAAACGATCATAGTCACTAAACAAAGTGTTAAGTCGAGATTCTTTTTTGACACCTACCTGTCCATTTTAGTTCAGGAACAAGTATGACTCATTATATAAACATAACACTCCCCCCCCCCCGTGTTTTGTTCTGATATTTACAGTCTGGATTAAGGTACAATCTGGATTAAGGGATGGTTCCCCCCTTCTCCTGAATGGAGTAATTCAAACATTTTGCGTGTAACACTAGGTGGAAATCTTGATTGTCCTTCAGCTTCATTTGACTTAGAAATCTATTTTCTCTTAACTGTAAATGGGGGGAGGGTCTTACCTCTGGACTTAATCTAAAAGATTGCACTGTTAGCAAGATTGAGAAAGCATAAGAAGAATATTCCTGTGTTTATGTCCGATTTTTTTTGTAAGGCAAGCTAGGAAGAAAAAAAAAACTGCCAAGGAAGTTTTAATCTTTTTTAAAGATGCTGCTTCTTCTCGAAATGGGATTAACAGAAGAGAAAAATGATGGCCTACTTTTTGCTCTTGCAAAATAAGAAGCGGGTCAGCCAAACTCTAGTCGACCTTTCATGGTTTGCATTTTGGCTAGTAGCCTCTTAGGAAGAAATATGCAACGGTTTAAGCCCGAGGAAAGCAATTCACTTTCTCCTTCTGTCCAATCACAATGTAAGAAAAAATGTACACATAAACAAAACTTTAGAATAGAATAGAATAGAATAGAATAGAATAGAATAGAATAGAATATGAATGGAATAGAAAACAGAATGGAACAGAATAGAGAATAGAAGGAATGAAGAATAGAATAGAACAGAACAGAACAGAACAGAACAGAACAGAACAGAACAGAATAGAATAGAATAGAATAGAATAGAATAGAATAGAATAGAATAGAATAGAAGGAATGAAGAATGGAATGGAATGGAATAGAATAGAATAGAATAGAATAGAATAGAAAACAGAATGGAACAGAATAGAGAATAGAAGGAATGAAGAATAGAATAGAATAGAATAAAATAGAATAGAATACAGAATGGAACAGAATAGAGAATAGAAGGAATGAACAATGGAATGGAATGGAATGGAATAGAATAGAATAGAATAGAATAGAACAGAAGGAATGAAGAATAGAATAGAATAGAATAGAATGGAATGGAATGGAATGGAATGGAATAGAATAGAATAGAATAGAATAGAATAGAATAGAATAGAATAGAAAACAGAATGGAACAGAATAGAGAATAGAAGGAATGAAGAATGGAATGGAATAGAATAGAATAGAAAAGAAAATAGAATAGAAAATAGAATAGAAAACAGAATGGAACAGAATGAAACAGAATGAAACAGAATAGAACAGAACAGGGCTGGGGAATTCTGGGAGTTGAAGTCCACAAATCTTAAAGTGGCCAAGTGTGAGGACTCCTGGTTTAGCAGAGCAGACTCTTAATCCCTATGGAATGCCAACGTAGGGGCTCGTATCCAGTCTAACGAAGAGAAGGACACTAGGGGGTACCACAGTAACCATCTTTCAATACTTGAAGGGACGTCATGGGGAAGAGAGAGTTGACCTATCCTCCAAACCACTTGAGGGCAAGACAAGAGGTAACAGGTGGAAGCTTATCAAGGAGAGGTCCGGCCTTGAATTAAGGAGAAATTGCCGGACAGTGAGAACCCTTAACCAGTGGAAGAGCTTGCCTTCAGAAGTTCTGGGTGCTCCATCACTGGAGGCTTTTACGAAGAGACTGGGCAGCCATTTGTCTAATGGCTGATAAACCTGGATGATATAGGGCCTCCTGCTTGAGCAAGAGATTGGAATGGAGGACCTCCAAAGTCCCTTCCAACTCTGATCTCTTGGTGTTGAAAAGAAGGAAAGGGGGGAAATGGATGATCTTCAGAGAAGGTGGACCTCACCCTCAAAGACGAGGCACCCTCAGGTGGGGTGGGGATAATAAAAATAGTCAAGGCGGTAACTGCAACTGCAGGCACGCAAGACCCCTGCAAACAATGGATGGTCCTTTGGTGATGTGGCCTCCATCTTCACTTTTTGGACATTCCTTCCTCCCCCGATGGATGCTCCTCTTCCAGGTTTGCCTTTTGGTCCTTGAAGACATCTTGAAGAACCAACTTTTGCCATTGTTGGCACAAAGCAGATGTAGGTGAAAGTTTGCGAAGACATGGATAACTTCATGAAATGCAAAGAAAACAATGTACAAACTTGAAATCACAAATATGTTTAATCACAAACATATTTGCAATGTCCTGGGGCTTTTCAGCTGAAAAATGCTGGCGGAGGCCATAGTGACTCATCATTGTGATTAGTCATGTTCATTTCTTGTTTGTTTTCTATCAAGAAAATATTCCACTTCATAACTTAAATATCTGGCCCAGACAGACGAAACTTAGAACATTTGAAGCCAACCCTCAACCCTTTGGTGTTAATACTAGTTTTGTTATATCTAGCACAGGGTATCACTTTGCCCAGGAAGAGTATAACAAACTGGCACTGTATTTGGATCAGGTAACCACATTTCCGGGAGGGGAAATTTTTTATCTTTATGGAGTGTTCAGAAAACAAATAGCAGAATGTCTTATATCTCAGGGGCTGCCCCAAAGAAGAGGGAGTCAGGCTCTTCTCCAAAGCCCCTGAAGGCAGGACAAGAAGCAACGGATGAAAACTGACCAAGGAGAGAAGCAACCTAGAACTAAGGAGAAACTTCCTGACAGTAAGAACAATTAACCAGTGGAACAACCTGCCTCCAGAAGCGGTGAATGCTCCAACACTGGAAGTTTTTAAGAAGAGACTGGACAGCCATTTGTCTGAAATGGTATAGGGTTTCCTGCTTGAGCAGGGGGTTAGACTAGAAGACCTCCAAGGTCCCTTCCAACTCTGTTATTCTATTCTATTCTATTCTATTCTATTCTATTCTATTCTATTCTATTCTATTCTATTCTATTCTATTCTGTTCTATTCCATTCTATTCTTCTATTCTATTCTTCTATTCTATATTTTCTATTCTATTCTCTTCTGTTCTGTTCTACATTCCATTCCATATTCCATTCTATATTCCATTCTTTTCCATTCTATATTCCATTCTTTTCCATTCTATATTTCATTCTATTCTATAAGTCAAATTGAATTTAACTGCCATCAAGAATAACATCAAAGCCTCAGAGTTCTACACACACATACACACACAAACATTGTTTCCTCCATGCTTTCCGCCCTCCCCCCAGATATTTCTCAGGAATGAAAGGGTTCAACCCTACCCCCAGTTTCCCTGGGGGCCTCCATTTCCTAACTCAGGGATCAGCTCTCCGATCCATCCGAGGGAGGGATCTTGGTAAGCTTTCATGATAGGCATCTCTCGAACCCCTAAAACGTAAGAACGACACACACAGAGAGCCCTTGTACAAGAAAGGTTGTGTACCAGAAGCAGCAGCTCTGCCACTGATGGGCACCAAGGCCAGCCTGGAGAAATACCATCAATCAAAAGCCTTGAAGGAGGGAGGGAGGAGGGGCGGGCAAACTTGTAGGTTAGCAAAAGTTGAAATGTAGTTCGTTCTTACAGGGTTTTTTTTTTTCACAGCTGGCCCACAACTCACTGTCACAGACCATGCAGATGTTTCCAGCAGCACAAATGTGTTCAGGGAGTTAAAAAAAAAACCCCAACAACTGTCATAGCTGGACTGAAGAGAGTTTTTGCAAGCATAAATAGCAAGATTTCCTCTCTTCCCATTGCAGATTTTCCAGCTGGGGAGACAAAGCAAGTTCTCCTAACAACCTCAGAGCCACAGGAACACTGGTAAGTGAAAATTGTCTGTATTAATGATTAATGCACAGTGATTTAGCAGTTGTGTATTTATGCCCTGCTCTTAAAGCAGAAGAGCTCCTTAAAGGAAGGTTAAACTTTAGTCTTTTATCTTAGCCTTGCAGGTTTCTTTGCCTTGATTGAATTCTGGGGGTTTTCTAAAAATATTTAGGTAATGAATTAAAGTTGAAATGGATTAAGTGAGCATTCCTTGTTTCTTTACCTTACTTTTAAACAAATATCTCTTAGACAGAAAATTAAAAAGGACACAGCTATGTATTCTCCCACCTAGGTGCACTAAAAAAAACGGTGACCAGAATTAAACCACATTTATGATTCTAATGAGATAACAGATCAAATTAGCCTGCTAAAAGCCTATTGTCAATTATTATTATAATAATCAAGGACAGAAGCAGGACTAAACTTCCTAACAATGAGGACAATTAACCAGTGGGAAAGCTTTCCTCCAGAAGTTGTGGATGCTCCAACATTGAATGCTTTTAAGAAGAGACTGGACGGCCACTTGTCTGAAATGATAGAGGATTTCTTGCTTGAGCAGGGGGTTGGACTAGAAGATCTCTGAGGTCCCTTCCAGCTCTGTTATTCTGTTATTCCTGACAGTGAGAACAATTAACCAGTGGAACCACCTGCCTCCAGAAGTGGTGAATGCTCCAACACTGGAGACGTTTAGGAAGAGATTGGAAGCCATTTGTCTGAAATGGGATAGGGTCTCCTGCCTGAGCAGGGGGTTGGACTAGATGACCTCCGAGGTCCCTTCCCACTCTGTTATTCTGCAACTCTGTTAAATAAGGAAAGTAACTTTTTTTTTCTTTGCCTGGATTTAAAAACAAATCTTCTGGGTCGCCAGTGATCTCTGTTGATGTCATGGGTATAGGTAGAGATGCAGCATTTGCTTGTGGAATCCACTAATTGTGGCTTTTTCTATTTTAACTCCCATGGGCAAGGGAACGAGAAGCTCACAAGACATGTCTGCTTCTGAGAAGACAACCCCAGCGCTGCTCGTAGTACTCTTGAGTTGTGTGGCTTGTGTCCCCCTTGAGGGAGATATCCTGTGTGGTGCAGAGGATCCAGCCACCTACAGCCTTGTGTTCACGGGGAAATGGAGCCAAGCGGCTTTTCCAAAGCAGTATCCACTCTATAGACCCCCAGCGCAGTGGTCCTCCCTCCTAGGTAAGGAAGCCCACCGGTCTTCTGCCAAGAGTGTCCCCAGGGAGATGAGGATGATGGGGATGGTGTTGATATCCATTCAATGATGTCCTACTCTCGGTGATCCCATGGACCAGGTCTCTCCAAAAGTCCCAATTTTGCACTGCTTCTTTGAGTTGTTCTATGCTCTGGCTGGCGTCAGCTTTGATGATATCCATCCACTGTGTTCTTTGGAGACCTGGTTTCCTTTTACAGATGATAGGTAGGTAGAGAGAGTGAAAGAGAGAGAGATGATATGATATGATAGCTATGATAGATGATATAGATATGATAGATAGATGATAAGATAGATAGATAGATAGATAGATAGATAGATAGATAGATAGATAGATAGAAATACAGGTAGAGAGATAGAGAGAGAGATAAATATAGATAGATATGATAGATAGATAGATAGATAGATAGATAGATAGAAAGATAGATAGATAGATTTGATAGATATAGACAGATAGAGCGATAGAGCGATAGAGAGATGATATGATAGCTATGATAGATAGATGATATAGATATGATAGATGATATGATAGATAGATAGATAGATATAGATATAGGTAGAGAGAGATAGAGAGATAGAGATAGAGATAAAGATAGAGATAAAGATAGATAGATAGATAGATAGATAGATAGATAGATAGATAGATAGATAGATAGATTAAATAGAAAGAGGACAGACAGTTAGTTAGATATGATAGATATGACAGATAGACAGATAGATAGATAGATAGATAGATAGATAGATAGATAGATAGATAGATAGATAGATAGATAGATTTCTAACTCACACATTCACTGCCCCAACCACAGCAATCCTGTCTGAAATGGTATAGGGTTTCCCGCCTGAGCAGAGGCTTGGACTTGATGACCTCCAAGGTCCCTTCAAACATAATAGTAATAACAACAACAGAAAGATAGGTAGGTAGGTAGGTAGGCAGGCAGGCAGGCAGACAGAATCCTGATGTTGATGATAATGTTGTTATCCATTCAGTCCAGTCGATTCTTGGGGATCCCCTGGTCCAGGCCTCTCCACCTTTTCCGATCTTGCGCTGCTTCTTTGAGTTGTTCTATGGCTGGTGTCCCCTTTGAGGGGGTCCAGCCACCCTCTTCTTTGGCGGGCTGGTTTCCTTTTACCACTAACTCTTCCGTGCATAATTGCTTTCTCCAGCAATTCCCCCACATGACACGGCCAAAAATAAGCGAGACACAGTTTGTGATTTTTTTCCTCCAGTGATATGTCTGGTGTTATGTCCCAAGAGTATCCTACTACAAGATAGTAACAAAAATCAATATGGCAGACATGGCCACGCTATTAAAACGCCAGTCTTTCTGAAGGCCTATGGAGATTCTCCGTCATCCAAGGTCCTGGTTGTCCCAAAGGTGCTTTTTTTCAAGAGGCCACTGGACTTTCTTGTTTCTTCGAAGATGTTTCCCTTCTCCTCCCAGAAGCTTCTTCAGATCTCGGAAGAAGTAGAGCTGAAGAAGCTTCTTGGATGAGAAGCAAAATGTCTTCAAAGAAAAAGAAGAAAATCCAGCTGCCTCTTGAAAAATGGGTATATTTCAGTATGGAGAAGATGGATAGATTATATTCAGAATAAATACGGGACTAAAAAGTTCCATTTATTTTTATGAGTACATTTTAGAGTATTATTTTTATTAACAGTATATTATAGTGAAATTATTATTAGTTTTATTATTGTTTTTAGCATTAGCATAGTTTAATAACTTGGGATATTGTTTAATAATATGGAATTGTTTATATTATTATGTTTATTTTACTTGTCTGTATTTATGTTAAAGGGGAGTTAAAGTATACTATGAATTTGGTTATTTTATAGTAGAGTTTGATTATTATATTTGTAATAACCCTGTATTCAGCTCTGGGAATTGGGGGAGGGGGAGGGGGGTTAGGGTGGGGGGGGGTTTGGGGTGTAATTCTTTATAAAACTTTTTAATAATAAAAAAAGCACCTTTGGGACATCCAATCTTTCTGAATCGTGGTTGAGGCTGCCATCTTGACTTTTTGGACCCTCCTGGAGGACATTTTTACCTCCTCCTTCTGCTGGTTCTTCAGCTACCTCCAAATTCACTTCCCGGGGAGACAGCACCAAGTACACAATCCTGGAGAGCTTTTACGGCTGGAGCTCCTTTTCTGCAGCAGAAGTCAACCCCGTTCCCTGTGTTTCGAGTCACAAAGGACCTCCCTTCCAGGAAGAGGGAAGCAGCTTGCCTTCCTGCAGGAAGTAATTCCAAATCCGCCTTTTGTGTGTCTCCTCTTCGACAGGTGTGGCCCACAACTCCGACTACGTCATGTGGAAGGCCAACGGCTACGCCAGCAATGGCATGCGTGAGTTGGTGGAGAGAGGGGAACCGTGGGTGCTCATGAAGGAAATAGAAGCAGCTGGAGAGAAAATGCAAAGCATTTATGGAATCCTCTCCGCTGCTCCTGTGGTCACCGGAACAGGACAGACCTCAACGGTCTTTGAAGTTGACCCAGGTCATCCCTTAGTAAGTTGGAAGTATCTCCTAGCGCAGTGTTTCCCAAACTTTTGACATATGTGTACCCCTTCTATAATTTTTGTAACGCTGAGTACCCCTTTTAAACAGCTCCGAGGCTCAACGTTAACTGTTAATGTTCCCGCAGTTTAAAAATGGCCGAACCAGAGCTGCGCGAAGGATGCGCAGAAGTTCCCGTCATAATGAGTTGCGATACGATGTATGATGGCCCCAGTTCCCGTGTAAAAACTGCGATACGCGCCTATTTCTTTCTTTGTTCTGTGGGCGCAGCTAAGCACGGTGCAGTGGATATTCCCACGTGATCCAACGCGTACCCCCACCAAACTCTTCCCATACCCCTGGGGGTACGCGTACCACACTTTGGGAAACACTGTCCTAGCGGCCTTTTAAGGAGCAAGTACGGAGTCCCAAAGCAGTAAAGCTGCAAACAAACTAAAGAATTATTAGTCCAATAGACTTAAGATGGGCAGTTATTATTCTTTAATTATGGCTGCATAAATTTGCAAGCAATTAAATCAGCAGAGGGTTCAAAGCACGGATATATCTTGGCTGGCACTTTCTCCTGTGGTTGATTGCACTTAAAGATTAAAGACCCTGCCTATCACCCACGTGTCTTATTACCATAAAACTGTCGGATTATTTGGGGAAACCTTTTAATTCATTGAGAAGGTCGTCAATGAAATATAACTCATTACTAAGACAGCAGCTCCCAGAATCGTGAGGCAATGAATTCAACTTTATTAAAATAATGCTTCACTTTGTATTACTTATAGTCTAGGAAGTTTAATCTATCACACCCTGCTGAGTGTCTCTCTCTATTTTTATTGCCCGCTGCTTTGAACTTCTCGGGAAAGTAATATTTTTTATTGATTCGAGAAAAACTTGAAATAACGTGAACATACTTAATATCTCGATTGTCATAATTCCAGCATGTGGTTACATTGGTTTATTAAAATGATCTAATTAGAGAGAACCAGGCACAGTCCAGTTTTTGAAGCAAAGGGTTTTTTTCTGAATGTCCAGGTATCCATTGCGGTGCGAATCGTGCCCAGCCCTGACTGGTTTGTGGGATTTGAGAATTTTAATTTGTGTGACAAGAACGGCTGGAAGCGCCACGTCTCCATGGACCTATTTCCATATGATGCCGGAACAGATAGCGGGTTTACGTTTTCCTCGCCCAACTTCGCAACAATCCCCCGGGATACAATCACAGAAGTAAGTTTCTTGACCTTTTCCCAACTTCAACAACTTTTGGGGATGATCTGTTGCATGTCATCAGGTCAACTGTCACCTGGAGGTCTCAAAGAAAAGATTGGACAGCCATTTGTCTGTTGACAGCTCTCCTGCTTTGGGCACGGAGTTGGACTAGAACAAAGGTAGGCAACCTTGGCTCTTTTATGACTGGTGGACTTCAACTCCCAGAATTCCTGAGCCAGAATGGGGAAACCATGGCCCCCTCATGACTCGTGGACTTCAACTCCCAGAATTCCTCAGCCAGCATGGGGGAATTATGGCCCCCTCATGACTGGTGGACTTCAACTCCCAGAATTCCTGAGCCAGCCTGGCTCAGCTTGGAAACCTCTCCCTTTCCCCTCAGCATGGCTGGCTCAGGAATTCTGGGAGTTGAAGTCCACCAGTCATAAAAGAACCAAGGTTGCCTATCCCTGGTCCAGTCAGAGCTGAAGAAGCTTCTGGGATGAGAAGCGAAACGTCTTCAGAGAAAAACAAGAAGGTCCGGTTGCCTCCTGAAAAAAAAGCACCTTTGGGACCGTAAAGGAGGAGAAGAGAGGGAACTGGAACAAGAACTGGAAACCAAATCAGGCTTCTTCCACACTGCAATGATTTCTGGTGAGTGAAACTCACCTCCTTTTTGCATCTGCTTGATTTCACAGATCACCTGCTCAGCCCCTAGCCACCCTGCAAACTCATTTTATTACCCCAAGCTTAAGACTCTCCCACCGATTGCCCGAGTGTCCATGGCCAAACTCAAAAGAAAGAAATTGGGCTTCCTCTTCTCTCAACCAAACGTCACAACCACGGACAACGAAGTGGAGGATTCCGTCTCAGGTAAGTGCTTTATTCCTGGATAAAGAGAAAGTTTTGTTTTAATTATTCAGACCTGGAAGAAATGCCTACCTTTGTGGAGCAAACGCAACCTGTTTTACCAATCAACACCCTCAAAGCTTCTCTTTCGGGAGTACAGGATGAAATGAAGGAAACGGTAGCGAGGAATTTAATCTTAAGGGAAGAAATACTGGAGTAATTGGTAAATCTTTCAATAGTTCCTTTGTTTGGACAGTCCTTGGACTGGCAGAAGTTGTGAATGCTCCATCCCTGGAGGGTTTCAAGAAGAGATTGGACAACCATTTATCTGAAATGGTTCAGGGCCTCCTGATTCAGCAGGGGGATGGACTAGAAGACCTCCAAGGTCCCTTCCAACTCTTTCAGTGGAAGGATTTGCCTCCAGACGTTGTGGGTGCTCCAACACTGGAGGTTTTTAAGAAGAGACTAGACAACCACTTATCTGGAAGAGTATATACCATTTCAGACAAATGGCTGTCCAATCTCTTCTTAAAAACTTCCACTGTTGGAGCATCCAGAACTTCTGGAGGCAGGTTGTTCCACTGGTCAATTGTCCTCACTGTCAGGAAATTTCTCCTTAGTTCCAGGTTGCTTCTCTCCTTGGTTAGTTTCCACCTGTTGCTTCTTGTCCTGCCTTCAGGCACTTTGGAGAATAGCTTGACTCCCTCTTCTTTGGGGTAGCCCCTGAGATACTGGAAGATTGCTATCATGTTCCCCCCCCCCCCGTTCTTCTCTTCATTAAACTAGACATCCCCAATTCCTGCAGCCGTTCTTTATATATTTTAGCCTTCAGTCCCCTGATCACCTTCGTTGCTCTTCTCTGCACCCTGTAGTTGTGTATTTAAAAAAAACAACAACTTGAAACCGCTTCTGTCCTGCAGAAACACCTTTGGATTGTGAGACCTCTCTGTGGTCTTCGTGGGGTCTTTGCCGAGGCACCTGTGGAAATTTAGGAACGAAAAGGCGGACTCGGTACATAGTCCTTCAGCCGGCCAACAACGGAAGCCCTTGCCCAGATCTGAGTGAAGAAATGCATTGTGAACCAGATAATTGTGTCTGAAATCATTCTTTTGGACAATTGTTTACCTCGTGTAATTTGGGGGATAGTTAAGGTATCTCTGCGTTGATATTTTTTATAGCTCAAGAGCTATCTATCCAGCTAGCCATCCATCAATCCATAGATAGATGTACTTAGGTATACGGGCTTTCTACACATTTATTGTGAACTCCTACAGTGTCACCTAGCGGTCAGAAGTAATAGTAGTAGTAGTAACTCTAATAGTGAACTTTAAGAGTTACCGACATCTGCAGGAGGAAAAGAGGCAGGCAAGACTCTTTGCATTTCTGCTACTTCTGAATTGTATTTAATGCATCTGAGGAATAATGAGCTGGTTTCTACTGAGAATTAAACATGTAAGTTTTGAGGGGGATCAACTTGAAGGAAAAAAAAACCCGCATCTTTCTCAAGACTACAAGAAAAAGCCGAGATTTTTGTTGGTTTGTTTGTAATTCTAGACATTTTTAAGCTATCGTTTGAAAACTCTTGGGGTGGCTTTTGTGAAAGTTGGCAAGCTTTACCCTTTATGCAGATGTCTGTGAATTTTGTCCTGTTCTGGGAAGAGCTAAGAAGGAGAAGTGTAAGAAAAAATTACTGAAAAGTTTGTGCACGGATGCGTATGATATACTTCCTCGACTTCTTACAGCATTCTATATTTCTGGATTTTTTTTCCTAATTAAAAACAAACATTTTGCCTCAGATTAAATAATAGAAGGATGGAGAGTGTATCCCTCCCTCCCCCAATTCACGCATCGTACTTTGGTTGGTTGTACATTATACACGCACATGCAACATTTCAACCTAAGGAGCCAATTCCACGATGGCTTTTTATTAAGTTTATTTTAACTTAACCTCCTGGCACTCAGTGTTTAATTATCTAAGTCTGCAATCTTGAGCCTATTTCCTTGGAAAGTCTCGTTGGGCGCAGCAGGGGGCAGTTCCTAATAAAGCAACACATTATAAAAGTGTCAAACCATGCCTTCCTTCTTGATATGTACTTGAGTTCAGAGGAAATCCCACTGAGATAACTCAGCAGAGGTTCAGCACAGGGCCTCAGCCTCAGGGAAACGGCTCCCGAATTGGATGGATCCCTTCTTTTCAGAGCAGAAATCTTCCCCCGATAATGCCTTGAAAGGCAACACGAAGACTCTCTGCATTTTAAAGTTCTACCACCAAGTTTCTTATAAGCGATATGAGGAAAGGTATCATCAGAGTTCAGAGTTTTATTATAATTTTATTAGCCCCCCTCTACCTCAATAATCTTTCTCTCTGTATTTCTCTCTCATATCTATGTATAACGTATCATCATCTATCATCTATCTATCATCTATTTAACATCTATCACTTCTCATATCTTTCTATTTATCTCTATCTATCATTTATATCTATATATCTCTATCAACTAATCTATCATCTATCATCTCTCTCATATTTGTCTATCCCTATCTTTTTATCATATCTATCTATCTATCTATCTATCTATCTATCTATCTATCTATCTATCTATCTATCTATCTATCTATCTATCTAGCTGTCTGTTTGTCTGTCTGTCTGTCTGCCTGCCTGCCTGCCTGCCTGCCTACCTACCTATCTACCTACCTATCTATCATTTCTCTCATCTTTCTGTTTATCATCTCTATATCTATTATGTCTGTCTATCTATCTATCTATCTATCTATCTATCTATCTATCTATCTATCTATCTATCTATCTATCTATCATCTATCTGCATATCCATATCCATATCATCTAATTTCTCTCTCTCTCTCTGCATCCATCTACCTACTAGACTATCTATCTATCTATCTATCTATCTATCTATCTATCTATCTATCTATCTCTGTCTGTCCATCTATATCATCCATATATCATATATGATCTACAGTATCTGTCTGTCTATCTATCCTATCTCTTTCTCTTTCTAACAATCTGTCACTACAAACATTAGGAGCTCTTAGAGATTAAAAAAATGGAATATAAATCTCATGAGCAAATAAACTTATCACACATATCCTGGGAAAGAGGACAGCAGAGGGAGTTTGACCAACAAAATGAAATAGGTTGCTAATCATTGCTCTGGAAAAGCTTCCCCTGAATTTCTTGTTCCTTAATTCTGAAGCGTTTCTCCTCCGAATGCATGCAAATAAACAAATAAATCCCTAAACAACACACACACACTCACACACACACACATCCTTAACATCCTGTTGGAAATAGGCATGGGTCAAAAAATCAAGACTGGAAGCAGTTTTTCAGCTCCCGCCCATGGAGCCGTTTCCCAGCCTGCCTCAGAAAAGTGGAAAGGCGCTTCTTGATGTAGGAGTTTGAATCTCCTCGGGTGTGTCTGTGGAGTTTCCAGGAGGATTTGTGAAGCCAAAACGGTCAAGATGGTGGCAGTGCCCCCCCACCCACCCAATGGAAGCCTTGCCCTCTCTTCGCAGCATCGCCAACACCCATAAAAAGGGGGCAGAGCTTCGGCTGAACGTCATGATCCTCACCTTGGCTTTTTTGATCCGCATCCTTGACTATTTACTGCACACTGTTTTTGAAGGTCGGACAGCCAATTAAGGACTGTTTTGTCCTCCTAAATGTTTCGTTGGGAAATTGGGAGGTTGGGAGAGAGACACATGGAAAGGCATCAGTGGCTGAGGTCAAAAAGCAAAAACCCAGAAAAGCCCTATGCATTCAATTTAATTTTAATTAATTCAATTTAATTAAAACCCCGTGCTATTTTTAAGGCTCACTCCAGTTGCAGTGTGTATCCCCTGATGTAATTGTGAGTCGAAAAGCTTCTGGAGGCCTCTAGCAAATATACAAAACAAAGCAGCTAGTTGTACAAATCTGGATTAAGGCATCAAGGTCGCTTCAGAGAACGTTTATTCCAGGGATTAATCCTTTCTTTCTGGGAATATGAGACAGAAAACCGGTCTGGTTTTCTCTGCTTTCTCTCCCCTTTTACAATGATTCCATATATGGCATTTATTTATTAGATGAAAGCACACGGGAAAGAAACGATAGGCAAATATTTAGTCTGATAGGAGCCCTCTTGGGAATCAAATTGCTGCTTTCCGCTGGGATCTGCTCAGATCGTTCCCTTTCTAACAAAAGCTTTTCGCTACGAGGCTAACAAAGACCAGGAACTTTATTCAAACATTGGGCTGAATTTCTAAACCCTTTTCCTTTGTAAGAAGAGTGTTTAGAATTACAGTTATAGATACTTCTTAAAACAAACTGCACCTCTTTCCCCTTTGTCTACCGTTGCGTTTATTTAACTCATCTCGGATCTCAAGGAAATAAAACTCAGCGGTTTGTAAATGCCTCCAAGGCAGGTTACAAGCGGGTAAGACATTCTGCTGGAGAATACTATTCCGGTCACTACAATACAAAAAAGATGTTGAGACTCTGGAAAGAATGCAGAGAAGAGCAACAAAGATGATCAGGGGACTGGAGGCTAAAGCATATGAGGAACGGTTGCTGGAATTGGGTAGGTCTAGTTTAATGAAGAGAAGGACGAGGTGGGACAGGATAGCAGTCTCCCAATATCTCAGGGGCTGCCCCACAGAAGAGGGAGTCAAGCTCTTCTCCAAAGCACTTGAAGGCAGGACAAGAAGCAATGAAAAGAAGGACTAGGGGGTGACATGATAGTATCTTCCAATATTTGAGGGGCTGCCACAAAGAAAAGAGGGGTCCACCTATTTTCCAAAACACCTGAAGGCAGGACAAGAAGCAACGGATGGAAACTGATCAAGGAGAGATGCAACCTAGAACTAAGGAGAAACTTCCTGACAGTGAGAACAATTAACCAGTGGAACAGAAGTTGCCTCCAGAAGTTGTGGGTGCTTCATCAGTGGACATTTTCCAGAAGAGACTGGACAGCCACTTGTCAGAAATGGTCAAGGGCAGTGGTCCTCAACCTTTTTAATGCCGCGACCCCCAACCGGTCGTAAGTCGAGGACTACTCAACCGGTCGTAAGTTGAGGACTACTCAACCGGTGCAGCACCGTTTGCAGACTGGGACTTTTGGCGGGCTCAGCAGCGCAGAGACAGCCTGGACAATTCCTATTGGCTTTTGAAAGCCAATAGAATTAGACTCTATTCAAGAGAGTCTATTCTATTTGCTTTCAAAAGCCAATGGAATAAAAGGGAGTAGCACAGCTAAGGAAAAGGGAAAAAAAATGGCGGACTGTGTTGTTTGGCGACCCCCGTGAAATGGTCGTTCGACCCCAAATGGGGTCCCAATCCACAGGTGGAAAACCGCTTTCTAGGGCAGTGTTTCTCAACCTTGACAATTTTAAGGCATGTGGACTTCAACTCCCAGAATTCCACAGCCAGCATTGGAGTTGAAGTCCACATGCCTTAAAATTGTCAAGGTTGAGAACCACTGGTGTAGGGTCTTCTGCTTGACTAGAAGACCTCCAATGTCCCTTCCATCTCTATTCTGATTCTGATTCTGACAAGAACAGTGGTAGCTTCTGCAGCAAGAAGGGCAGTCTCTTTTGACACTCTTTTGTCACTGAACGTTGTGAAGGGGGACTTGTGCCCTTCTCCTTGCCTTCTGTTCTATACAGACCCACCTAGCCTCTCCTTTCTTTCTCCTGTCTTCTTTGAGACATGTCTTACTGGACTATTCAGGATTTGGACCAGATGGCCACAGGATGGCAGCAAAGGGATACAACAGCCCAAATATTCCGCAGCTCAAATTCAGTAACTCAGGTTTAAAAAAAACAAAAGAAAATAAATCTCAGCGTGACATAGGTGTGGAGGGGTGTGTGTGATGGAACAGGGAGAGGACAAGCAGAGAAAATGGTATATGTGGCAAAAGAAAAGAATATACAGGAAAGATACCAGTGCTAGGCTGCATTAACAGACAGAATCAAGATCACAAGAAGCGTTAATACCACTTTACAAAGCCTTGGTAAGGCCACACTTGGAATACGGCATCCAGTTTTGGTCACCACGATGTAAAAAAGATGTGGAGACTCTAGAAAGAGTGCAGAGAAGAGCAACAAAGGTGATCAGGGGACTGGAGGCTAAAACTTACAAGGGATGGTTGCTGGAATTGGGTATGTTTAGTTTAACGAAGAGAAGGACGAGGGGGGACACGATAGCAGCCTTCCAATATTTCAGGGGCTGCCCCAAAGAAGAGGGAGTCAAGCTATTCTCCAAGGCGCCTGAAGGCAGGACAAGAAGCAACGGATGGAAACTGATCAAGGAGAGAAGCAACCTAGAACTAAGGAGAAACTTCCTGACAGTGAGAACAATTCACCAGTGGAACAACCTGCCTCCAGAAGCAATGAATGCTCCAACACTGGAAGTTTTTAAGAAGAGATTGGACAGCCATTTGTCCGAAATGGTATAGGGTACCTGCCTGAGCAGGGGGTTGGACTTGATGACCTCCAAGGTCCCTTCCAACTTTATTATTATTATGACTACCTTTTCCAGCATGACAGCCTTCCTTCAGAGAGCTGGGTCTTTGCTCCCTGAAGTGGAATAATTTCTGCGATCCCAAACTCTGGGTTGAGTTTTTTTTTTTTTTGATGACCATTCATTTGTCACTTTCATTCACCATGATATTCCCCGGGGTCTTCTCCAACGCCAGAGTTCAAAGCCTTCAGCAGTCTTTCTGTCTGCTTCTTCAAAGCCTAACTTCCACTTCAATAAATGTCACAGGTAAAACACTTGCCTGCATTATTTGTATTTTTGTAGGAATCACAGCGTCTGAATAATATTTCCTAGGTCTTCATTGCTCTCCTTCCCAGTGGTGTATTTCTTGACTGGCTGTTCCTTTGATGGTTAATCTAAACCAGTGGTTCTCAACCTTTTTAATGCTGCGACCCCCCCAACCTGTCGTAAGTCAAGGACTACTCAACCGGTCATAAGTCGAGGACTACTCAACTGGTGCAGCACCGTTTGCAGAATGGGACTTTTGGCGGGCTCAGCAGGGCAGAGACAGCCTGGACAATTCCTATTGGC